TGATAATTACTTATTTTCAGTATTAAAAATACTGGATAATAAGTAATTATCAATGATTCTTAGTATGATATTTCTATAAGGGTATACCGCTTGGGATCGAAATTATCGCAGGAGGATTCATGAAAATTCGGAATGTGTTGACAACTTTCGATATCTAGTAGTTTATGAGACATGAGAAAATTAGGAATATAAGTATATTTTTGTAAACATTATGATTTTCTCATTTTTCACCTTCGCATAATAATTCTCAGTATTTGATTACTATCAATATTTAACAGTGATTTTATTATCAGTATTCACTAGAAATTAAGTACTGGCCAAAAAATTACTGAATTACTGGTAATATTTAATCACTAATAATATTTTAGTATTTCTTAGTATATTTCTATAAGGGATATCACTAGTTCCCGACGATCGTTGAGGTTAAGTATTAGGCCTGTTCTTTGTAGTTGCACTGCTGAACTGGTGCAATATATTGAAGTGAAACAAATATACGTTTTCTCACTCTAACTTATTGCACTAGTTCAGTAGTGCAGCTACAAAGAACAGGCCTATTGAAGAGCATAGTCATCTAAAGATGGATAACACGTCGATAACACGTGGATAAGTCGTCTAACACGGGATCGAATCCACGTGAATCTCACGAATAAATGAAACGACACAAAATATAAAATGGCAGTTTTTTTTTTGTTATTTAGACAAAATAATACTTCATTTTTCACTGAGTGAAATTATGTAATATTACTGAGATATTGCAATATTACTGTGATATTAAGTAATATTATTAGAATGTCCACTGGAAGTTCAATGGAGGTTCAAGATGCGGACATTTGAATGTTGAGTGGAGGCTTTATGGATTTTCTATGGACGTCTACCCTTATAGAAATATCATACTAAGAATCATTGATAATTACTTATTTTCAGTATTAAAAATACTGGATAATAAGTAATTATCAATGATTTTTAGTATGATATTTCTATAAGGGTATTAGAAGTTCTGAATCTTCATGGTGGAAGTCTAATGGACATCCGATGGAAGTTTTGTTCTGTGCGGGTCATAATCGTTACGCTATTTTTATTTTGACAAGAGAAATAATTTAATATATATGTTTTAAGTTTTACCATTTTCTAAGTACTATAAAGTATTATAAGTGTTGTAAGTATTACAGTTTTCTTTTTTAAATTAAAGTCACTATAAGAAATTCTACTCACTTTGTATATAATATGCGAGTATAGTATTACATTATTTTTCACATTTAAGCCACATCGCTTGATGCTTAAAAATTTTCATGGGAACTCACACAATTTACATGTAAAGAAGAACATATACGATCAAAATGAATATTCACGTGAAATATTTCACGTTTTGAGAATTCACCTTTCACGATTAACGTTCGTCTCATTTATTAAATTTACTCATATTATATTATTATATTATATTATAACTATAAATTTAAGTTGTATAATGCTTATTAATGTGTTATATATAGTGTATACTGTAATTGGGAGAGTCCCGATTGACCACGGTAGATTGGACACAATCAACCGATGAAAAGAATTATCTAGTGAATTACTAGGTCGAACCAATCATTACAATCTGTGTCCAATCGTATCGTGGTCAATCGGGTCCCACCCACTGTAATTACATTTTAATTTTAATAATCTATATTACATAAATATTGCTTTCCACATTTTCATTATTCACTTTTTATGTGAAATAACTTACAGTAAAAAGTAAAAAATGAAAATGAAGTTCACATGAAAGATTCATGATCGCTACCCTGAGTACGGATGTGTTGTTTCGACGATTACGACAATTGGAATGGAACTTGTGTCGCTGTGTGCATAAAAGTGTCTAGCGATATTGTAACTGAGGCGTATTTTCGTTATCCAACCACGATCAACCAGAAGCGACCGCAGTCATTTTTGTTAGTGGTTGTGACGTCACCGATGCTAACACGTTAGTTTGGTAGGACTCAAACATTCAACCAAACCCAAGAGGTTTGCGTGGTTGAGGAAGGAGAATCTCACTTTAAAGTTTGTCTGGTTTGGCAAATGCAGTGATGGAAAACATAACCCTGAACCTTGATCAGCATATGCTGTGTCTGGACGATGCTGGCAATATCGAGATTTCAGAAGATCCAGAAAACCTGGGGCTTTTAGTGTTTGATAAACTAAGTAATTATTAAAACACCATTTAACTAATAGTTTAATATTTTAAGATTATAATCTAATGAACTATATATATTTCAGGCAATTCTGTTTTTGTCGTCCCAGACAATAGAAAAATACGCCAATTTCTGCCGCATATGCGCTTTATAGAGGAATCTTCTGATCAACTTATCAAACCACAAGTGTGCCTTGCCGATCAAGTCGATAATGTCACTGCACATGAGTGAAAAACTCAGGTAAACCTCAGGTAAACCGTGATACAGAGGCAGCTAATGATCTTATTACATTGGTGGGAAATGATCATTTTAAGTCCTTATTGAAAGATAAAACCAGCATAAAGAAGAATGTTTGGAGACAAATTGCAAAAGAAATGATGACTCTGGGCTATAATTTTGGTAATCGAGATCCTGGTACAGTTTGTTCTCAAAAGTGGAGGAACATGCAAGGAAGAACTATAACATTCATTCA